AATTCAAAAATCCAAAATAACAACTACCAATATGCATATTTTGAAGCCGCAGCCATTAAACTACATCTCATATTCCTACAGCACACACCCTGGTAGCTTCCACTTTAACTATTACTAATATTTTTTGGGTATATATAGGTATGCATATGATTTAATTTGCACTTATACATATAATATAAATTAAATAAAATTATATAGGTCAAAAGATTCCAGTAAATCTTTTACTTCTATATTGTTAACCACTGAATGCAAAAATTATGTGGTTTTTCAAAATTAAAAGTTTTATTTATTTATACATAATCATCAATAATCTTGTTCTAAATAAAAAATATTCATGAAAATGTTTTATATCCTAGCATTTTTAAATTTTAGCTAATCCTATAAATACAGTGAAAATCGTTTATAACGAACTTCAGGGACTGGTGCTTTTTGTACGTTGTAGCTAGTGTTCTCTGTAAGCAGTTCTATCGGTTATATTGAACAGGTTGCTATAAACGATATTGCACTAATAGGGACAGTTAGTTCGTTGTACCTAGGGTTATGACGCAAAAATGTGTTACTTTAACTATACTTATAATATGTTATAATAACATATACATAACATTTAACATATGTGTTTATTGTACTTAAGCAAATCTAAATATGTACATACATATATGTATAATATGTATTGAAATAAGTATAAGTAGTGAATAAAGTATACACATAATATAACGGCTTCTCCAAATCTTCGTATTATAAAAATGTAGGCATACATATACTATTTATTTTAAAAAGATCAAAAAAAAATACATACATATATGTATTACAAAATATGTAAACACATTTTACCTGAATATTTAATGAAAAAAGTCTGTAATTTTTGTTTGTCGCCTTCCTTGAACTTCTGAAAAAAAACATTTTTTCAATTGATGTGGAAACAATCGATAATGATTCTTTTACACTCTGGGAAGTTTCAGCAGTCTGAATAAATGCTCGTATGGTGGAACAAGCAGCATACGCTTCAGCAACAGTAGGGATTTTGCCGAAATCTTCCAATTCTTCATCAGCCTCATCAGTACTTTGTTTGTCACTAGTTTGGTGACTCAGTACGATGTCAATATCTGAGAGTTCTTCGCTCGTACTTATTTCGTCATCCACTCGTACATAGTCATCTGCAGAGCAGTCAGAACTGAAAAGGGAAATGGCATCCTGGAAATGCGTTTGTGCAATATCGTTGTATGCGATTCCTGATGGTTGTAAGTCTTTCGTTAGGCCGGAAAAACGAAAACAGTTGATGATCGTTTCCTTCCGCACAGATTCCCCTGCCTTTGATATCATTAGTACAGCGTCAAGAATACTGACTTTCGTATCGTCGCTATTCTCTCTCTTTTCGATGATTTTGTACACCAATTCTTTCCGAAAGCATGCTTTAAGACTTCTTATAACTCCTTGGTCCATGGGCTGCAGTACAGACGTACAATTTGGAGGCAGAAAAAACGAGTTTAATTTGTTTTAACCTGTCAACTGGGGGGTGGGACGGACAGTTGGCGACAATTAAAATTATGTGTTTCTTTTGTTGTAAAAGTTCACTGTCCCATTTTAGTAAAGTCTTTTTAAAAATAGCTGACGTCATCCATGCTTTTTATTGAAATCATAATCAACGGGGAAATTTTTCACGTTTTTAAAACAGCGCGGCATTTTACTTTTTCCTATCACCAAAGCTTCCTTTTTATGGAACCGGACATGTTGGCTGCAACAAGAACTGTAACACGCTCTTTTGAGAGTTTACCACCGGAACATTTCTCGCCTTTAAACTTTAACGTGTGATCAGGCGTCAGTCTAAAAAATAACCTTATCTCGTCGGCATTAAAAATTTCATCATCGCTATAGTCGGACCTGAGTGTACGCCACACATTTTCAACCCAGTCATTTATAATTGATCTGTCAACAACTGCTGACTCACCTGAAATTTTTCTATGGACAATATTGTGGCGAGCTCGAAAACGTTGAACCCAGGAAGCATTACACTTAAAATTCTTCTTCAAAATCACAGAGAAAGCATCAGCCTTTACCTGAAGCATCGGCCCACTCACGGGTACATTGTTTGCGCGTTGTTGTTTAAACCAATTGAGCAAAGCACTTTCAATGTCACTGTAATTTGATGACCGAACGCGTTTTCCTTTTTCACACTTATTAAATTGCTTAATAATTTTCTCTGGCCTTTTCATTATTCCAGCAATTGTCGAGCGTGACGTTTTAAATTCCCGGGCAATCGAACTCGCGGAATCACCGGAATCGACTCGGCAAATTATTCCAAACTGTTCCCCAATAGTAAATTGTTTCCGACATTTTTTCAATGAAGGCTAGACACAACTGAATTCAAATTCAGAAACTCTTGGCTTAGGCCAAATGGTGAAATATGTATAAACAAAATTTTGTAATACAATGGACCCATCTTGGGAGGTCTAACTGTCTAAAGGACAGTAGATGCCTGTTATGTACTATAACCATAAATTAATAAATCCTTACTTCTAATTTCGTGGTATTAAATATCGGTAATACCTGTGAGAAATACAACACTACAATGTCCATTTTCATAACTTTACAGGATAGCACTTTTAAACTTATTTATTAAGATGTACGCTGTAACCAATATTTTAACTACTAGTGTTCCAAGAATACGTTTGCTCTAACCGATTTGTTCATTATAAGCAATATAAATGCCTTTTTTTGTATGCCATTTTATGGGACCTACTATTTTGTTTGTTATATCCGATTGTACGTTATAGCCGGTGTCGTTGTAAACGATTTTGACTGTATGATGCTGAGGCTTCAAGGTTATCATAATAATAGTAAGTATGTATGAATGAGTTAAAAATAATTCAGTATGAGAATTCAAATTTTTATTTAAATTTCATAAAAATAAGTTTATTTTTTATATCATATAAAACAATTTTTACACAATGTTACAGTAGATTTTCCAAATTCTCTTAGTTGTTTGTCTTTACAATTTTCTCCTTGATAGCATATCTGCTTTTCAGGTTTATACATGTAGTGTCCTTTTCAATCAAGTCTTACATACATAATTACTTTACATGTGATACTCAGTTTTTTACTATACTTCTTGTACTAAGAGTCCATTTTAGGTGGAGAACTGCTGCATATTGACAAAAATCTATTAAAATAATATTTGACTTGACTTGTTTGTAAAGAAGCCAAGAATTTACTAATGCAATATCAATGAATCATTTTGATTGAATCACACAATGATTTTCCAAAAAAATCAGTTGCTGTTGTCCATGCCCTCCATGTGTATAATTTTTAACACTTGTGGTTGAGAAATCAAATGTTTTTCTTTGAGCCTGGGATCATATCTGATAGTTTATGTATGAGGTTTTTTATTATTAAAAGTATATGCTATAGTACTTAACATACTTCCAATACTTCCTTAACATAACTAAAAGGTTCCTGTTGCTTGGTAGCCACATATTTGTAAATGAATTGATAAATTCTACTGGCATATAATTTATTAAAAAATACCCAGTAGCTTGCAAGTCCAGAAAGTGAGAATCCAAAATATCAAGTATTACTCTGAATCCTAGGTCAAATCTTTACCATCATTTTTGGCAATTGTTCTTCCAGTAAAAAAGTAAAAAAAATATATCTCCTACTTTCACAAAGAGCCCATAATTTGTAGTTGTATCAAATAGGCTTTCCACTTATAAATTGCTTAAATGAGTTATCTCCATGGTATTTCATAATAATTTCATCAATCAACAATTCTTGTTTGAAAATTCCATATTTTTTAAATTCAGTATTTATCATATTAGTAGAGATCTTACTTTAAATCATCTGTTGTCTGTATCTATAACATTTATTATCAGTGAAATGTATAAATTTCTTAAATCTCAAATACTGATTTCTTGGCATACATTTTATTACATTTTTTTACAATATCTATACCAAGATCTTCATCACTCCAATAATGCCACTCAGAGGGTACTTGATGATATCCAGAGAATAAAAGTACTAATGAATACTTTGAGGTCAACCAAACAAAATATAAAACTAGTGTGAGTGTTGTTGCTACTTGCAAAGGAAATTCTTTCTTTCGCAATATATGCCAATAAAAATTCATCAATCAGTTTTTCTTGTAAATTCACCAAATTTTCATGATTTACATTATTATATTCCTGGAAGTTTTGTGTAAACTAATTTTTTTCATTTAAATTACACTTCTGTAAGATAATGCTTTTTTGATTTACCTTTTTCAATACTGTTCTTCAGAATATTTTATGGCCTAGGTTCATTATTAATGGACTCATTAATATTGGAAAACTGTATATTTTTGATGATTTACATTTTACTACCAATTCTCTAGGTACATCCGTACTTCAGCTGTTATTAGCAAATCAATATCAGCTTCATATTCATCTGTTAAAGAATCAGTTTCTAGTGGTAGCACCATTACATAGATTTCTTCATTGTCCATAAAATTAGGATCATTATATCTTCTAATAATTCTTGCAAGGATTTTGACAAATCGGCCCAGATCAGAAATATGTAGACTAATCAAAAAAAATTCATTCACTTTATTTTATATTTACTATTCAAAATAAAATTTATTAAAGTATTAGTTACTTACCATAGAATCATTTCTTCCAAATATGATTAAATATATAACTGTGCAAATTAAAAAATGCAAATGGAGATAGAAAAATTAATTTTTTGATATTTTGATAACACCAGGTACCACTGTTTTATTGTACTCTAATATTGACATTAATATTTTTAATTTTTAGAGTCTATTTCTTTTATTGTATGTTTACATTTAATAGAGTTATTACCTAAATAAATAAACTTTACCAACTAATAATAAATGAACTTTACAAACACTGTAGTGAAAGATTTATTTAGATCTTTCTGAAATGAAATAGTCCTAAGCATTTAAAAATCATACCTATTAACTAATTTTATGAGTTACTCAAATCTTTAAATGTAAAAAACTAGTTTCTTACCTATGTTATATTGTTCCAGTTCTTCTTTTATTCCAACCTTAATTTCACAAGCTACATCTTCTAATACATAGTTTTCTATTTTAATATCTGAATAACACTCATCTAAAAGAGGTTCCTGCATAGTATTGCTTTCAAATCGACATTCTTTTAATTCGGATTTAACTTCTATGTTAAAATATTCTTTTAGGGAATCTTGTTCCTCTTTAATACATGTCATTGCTTGATTTTTAGAATCTGTAATATCTCCACTGCGCTCCAATTTATATTATTGTTTTAAGAGATTTCTTGATTTTTATTTCCTACCCTGTTAATAATAAAAAAATTGTAAGGGTGTCTATTTTTTATTTATATTTTATATTATTTGACATATACGACAATGACATATTTGACACTAGAAGTCATGACACCATGATATTATGACCAATGACGTATAATATATAGACCGTGTTCCCGTATTCTGGCTATATAATCGGGTGTCTCTATAAAAGATCTCCGCTCAAGCACAGAATAATAAACTTTAATTAAAAAATCCTTTGTAATAGGTATATTTTAGGCCCAAACGGCTAAGTTAAAAAGACAAAACGTTTTCGGAAACCATGTTCCATCATCAGTGTCTATACTCTGTTTTTAACCAGAGGAGTAAACCAAAAGACAGATTCACACCCAAGAAAGTTACTAGAAAAGTCACCAAATACATCTTCTTTTTTTGTTGTATATCTCGGCCTTGCGGTAATCGAGTAATCAATATTGGACAACCTTACACGTCAATTCTAACCTAACTTTATGTTTTAATAATATTTTTTTTTTAATTCACTTCCAATATATATTACAATTATTACAATAAAAAAGACGTTTTTCACATTTGGTCCCATGTATATATATTTAAATATCGGGTGATCCAGTTTTATAGATCTTTTGAGTCGATGGTACTTAATTTAGAGAATATTTTGATCCAGAGAGTCAATAATGTTACACCACAGCATAGGAAACAAATTTGTTTCCTATGCTGTGGTTACACTAAGTATGGTTTTTCTCAGAAATTTGACTTTTAATTTGCAAATAGATCTTATATGCAACAAAGCTATGCAAATGCATGTATCAAAAAGTTAGAGAGAGTTCAAAGATTTCTGAAATACTGTTCTTTTAAACTGCGTAGACCATATTCTTATTCTGGTGTGATTTATTTCTTGAATCTAGGTTTTTTTTCTTACCAGAAGAATTAACTTTGACTTTGATCATTATTTTTAAGCTTAATAATCCAATCTCCTGAAGTGCTTCCGCCAGTTTGTTTTACATATTCCTTCCCATTCACTGCTTTAGAATTGACTTTTTCATGTTTCATATCACAGAATAAATTATGGTTCAAATATAGGTGTGGTCCTACTTTTCATGCATACATTTCATGGTAATCAGTTACATCATTAAATAGATTTAACTTATGTATCAATATCTTAAGGATCTTTTTGAAGCACTAAAATGCAAAACATAAATTTGTATAAATAAGTGTGTTTCTTTAATGCAGGATTATTGTTTAATTTTGACAGTGAGTTTGTCCCATTTGTTATCAATAAATAAAATTTACTAAAAAATATTGATTTCTGTGAGATAATCAACTAATTCAATCTATTATGTTACATTCTAGTATAATTTTGTAGTTTTCTTGTGATGATCTACAACAGGAAGAACAAAACCAACTGTATTAATACAATCAAAGTAAAACACAACATTACTAATGTTCTTTTATTGTGATGAAAACAAAATGAAAATGCTTCTTAACAAGTATATACAAATTTAAAAGATAGTTTGCCGTTTTTCTTATGATAATTAGATATAAATATCATATATTTATAAATTTATAAACACTGTAAACTCTTTTTATTATATATATATATATATATATATATAATATATATATATATATATATATATATAATATATATATATATATATAATATATATATATATATAAATATATATATAAGGTTCTTGAACTCCTAAGTGGAGCATAGAGCTTCAGTGAAAACGCGCCATCGGGTTCTATTTTGCGATAAGGCCTTCACCTCATTCCAAGACTTTCCTTGGTTTCTTATCTCGTCCATGATGGATCTTCTCCAAGTTTGTACTGGGCGACCTTTTTTTCGTTTTCCTTGGGGAATTTCCCCTAAAAAATAACTATGGTAAGACATTCATAATATACACAATAAATCAATCATCCTATAAAGTAAGATAAACAATCTATAGTTATGCTATGTAATATTTCCTGCATTGAATCTGCATATGTAAAGTAAAAATATCATTGTTTTTCCTTTTCTTCACTTCCATGTTCTTATATCTGTTGAACCAAAATACTTGACAACATTCCAGTAGAGTATACAAATAAAAACTAAAAACTTAATATTTAATAGTAACAATAATATACCTGATTATAAAAATGAAATCTATAAAATGTTTTAGTTAATTTTACTATATAGGTAATTGTAGCTAACCCATATTTACATACCGATATTTGTACTTACTTCAAATTGATTTGCTTCAAGAATTTTATATAATAATGAACGACACATATTTTGGAAGATCTAAGCGGTTGGTAATTTCACTTAAAATTTTACCTAAAGTGAGCATTTCATTTTTATTAAAGAATCTGTGTACTATCTGTCGTAGATGTTTTAACTCTTTCATCCTATGTTGCAAGAATATAAGGTCGACCTTCAATATTTTTAGGACATTTTACTGCTCCAGTCTGCTTATATTCTTTAATTGTTCTAAATTCTATTGTTGTAAATAGTCGAATTCGCAACACCTAAAATTAGCACATTACTTTAGTAAGTCTTGATTTTAATAATAACTATTCTGTAAAACTAACCTGCTGCCTATTTTATTTTTACTACCGTGGCTGTTATTTTTATTCCAGAATTATCAATTTTCATGTTTGTACATGTTTATAGTACATTATTTCTCATTTGATGATAAATGATCCAAATCTACTCGGCGTTTTTAATGTGGAAAAGAATAATTACCACTAGTACTTGGCATTGAATCCATATTGTTATCTTAATAACATAATATGTCGCTAAATAGTTCTGAAAAGAACTGTTTTTTTATATAAATGCAAACGAAAAATCTAAAGATGTAAGAAATAACACAGAAAATACAAAAAATTGTCGATATAAATTTTGAATTTTAAAATTTCACAAATGTCGTTAGTGTCAATATGTCATAATTTAGTGGAGTAAACTTGCCTGCGCTTCGACCAATTACAAACAAGCGTTATGGCGCGGAAAATTTAAATTACTCCTCCTGGTTTAAAAACAGACCATAGGAGTACATGAATGTAGCCACCAAGATTAAATATGTAGGTAAAAACCCGATAACAGATGTTTAATTACATTTAGTTTTAAAATAATGTTATAATGATTTAGGATTATAGAGTTACCGACCGATGGATTAGGTAACATGGCGACATATGACTCCACGTTGAAGTTGCTAGTCCTGAGACGGTATGTCTTCGAGGACTGTATGAGTGCAACTGACACAGTTGTACAGTATGTACAGTTGCACTCATACAGTCCTCGAAGACATACCGTCTCAGGACTAGCAACTTCAACGTGGAGTCATATGTCGCCATGTTACCTAATCCATCGGTAACTCTATAATCCTAAATCATTATAACATTATTTTAAAACTAAATGTAATTAAACATCTGTTATCGGGTTTTTACCCACATATTTAATCTTGGTGGCTACATTCATGTACTCCTAGACACTGATGATGGAACATGGTTTCCGAAAACGTTTTGTCTTTTTAACTTAGCCCGTTCGGGCCTAAAATATACCTATTACAAAGAATTTTTAATTAAATTTTTAATACATGGTACCTATACAGCCAACTACAGGAACGTAGATTCCTTGTGGATAATAATAAACAATCAGAATGCCCACTCTCAGATGCCACCTTTGAAGTTTTTCAGCACGCGCGCCATGTTTTAGAAGGAATCACATAACACAGACATATGATTTGTGAGGTTACGTAATTGTTTATATTTATGATAATTATATTATATGTATGTCATTATATTTAACAATGTTAATATAATTGTATAGTATGTCTATGATTGCCGTAAGTCAATTAAACCGGGTTAATTTTTCTATGCGCACTACATAAACAACACTGGTTCTCTCTAAAACATGGCGAAGCGTTGTTGTTGTTTGTTTGTGTTTAAATGACTGCGGACACTAAATCCATTCGCCAATCTTACAATTTGAGGTGTAGTGTGTGTGTGTGTGTGTGTGTGTGTGTGTGTGGTGTGTGTGTGTGTGTGTGTGTGTGTGTGTGTGTGTGTTGTGTGTGGTGTGTGTGTGTGTGTGTGTGGTGTGTGGTGTGTGTGTGTGTGTGTGTGTGTGTGTGTGTAGAGTAATTGTCTTGATACTTAGCAAAGTCGACGTCATTGTCTTTGCTAAGAGACGCTAATTGTATCCGAACGTCTGCGGTCCATCCGGTGTGTACCGATCACACAAGGATAGAAATTATTTTCATTTATTAATTTTTTTTAATAAACGAAAATTTCCACCCAGATGGGATTCGAACTCACGACCTTTAGGTTTAAAGGCAGGCGCTCTTACCACTGAGCCACAGAGGGGTTTTATGGCGAAGCGTCTGCGCGTACTTAATTTTCCATGGAGAGTGGGCATTCTGATTGTTTATTATTCTGTGGCTCAAGGTTGAAGGTATGTTTACCAGAACAGCGGCGTGCTTATTTATATTTTAATGAAAATAATTATTTTTTTTTTAATTAAAATTAAATATTTATGATTTTTTTTTGTTCCCGTCTACAAGAGAAAAAATTATTTTTATAAAATAGTATGGCATTTTACTAAAATAGTAAGTAAATAACTCTCAACAATTTAAAATAAAATTTGCTTGGCACATAAAAATATGTAAACACACAAAATGGCGAAAATGTTTTCAAACACAAGATCAACTTCGTAAGAAATCATGAACTTCGTGCATCTTCGTATCAAAACAATCATCATCATCATCCAGCCTCAAGAGTCCACTGCTGAACATAGGCCTCTTGCTCGTGTTTACAACTCCGTCTATCTTGCGCCGCTCTTATCCAGTTTTTATTGAGTCTTCTCAAATCGTCAGTCCATCTCCATTTTAGTCTGGCTATCTTTTCGATGATGTCAGTCACTCCGGTTCTTCTCCTGATGTCTTCGT